ATTTATGTGAAAATGATACAAATATTGTCAAGGTTAGTGCTTACCAAGAAAATATATACTAAATTAAAAATGTTAAAGATACATTCTTTGTTTAAAATGTGATGTTTGTAAAATAAGTATATAACTAGATATGTTTCTGATGTAAAAGTGAATATYCTTGGTGCATTATAGAGGTCAAAAGTAACAGTTTTCAAAAAAATCGAAAAAAAAAATGACAGAAAAACGGGAATTTTTATGCAAAACCAATTTTCGACCAAATCGATTTTTTTATATGGTTGTAATTCAAAAACTAATCACTGTAAATACTTGAAATTTTCACCAAATGTTTATGTTAGTGTTATCAATATACAGTTTAATTTTTAAAATGTTTTGACTTTTTTTGAGTTATATATAGACAACTGAAATTTTCGATTTTTATGATWGTMGGTAAAAAAATGTTGGATGACCAAAAAAACATGAAAATTTAATACAAGGTTCCTTATGAGTGGTTGTTATTGTAGCTAAAAAAAATTGAAAATCGTTAGTCACAATTTTTTTTTATTAGCATTTGAAGTTCAAATATTGACAAAAATTCGTCAAAACCATGAATATTTGCAAATTATTTTGTAATTCAAAATTTATAAAATTGTTTGTATTTATATCTAAGGTTAACAAATTCAACACTAAGTTTTCCATAAGTTTTTCTTCAAATAGCTATAAAGGAAATTTGACGCGTCATTATAGGAAAAATGTTTTGAGCGTTTGAGTTTTAAATTTTTATGAAATCGCGTAACGATAACGATTTATCGTCAAACCAGGTATATGTATATCTATGATAATATCAGGTATTATGAATTATRATAACTACATGCAATATTTTTGGAAAAATTGTTTAACCATGCCTTATGCAAAATGCGTCCTAATTGAAAAATAAAATATTTGTTTCAAAATAGAATAGGTATATGACAATATTTAAATATAATATATCTTAGACTGACAAATCATCTCTGTTCAGAATCGTTTTTACTATACAATGATACCTATCATTGCATTCAAATCTAACCTACCCTAGTCAGAGGTCCACCCCACCACCTTATGTACATCAGAGCGACATCCACTTACCCGCTTTTTTATTGTCAACCCTCGGTTTGGTTTGTAGCTTTAATCTATCCACTTCTAATACTTCTATCATCAGTTTATATTCTAAGTAGTGTATTTTTCTTCTACAATTTCTTTTTCTAATATTGATGAAATACAGTATTACTTGATATCTCCCGGCCTTTTTTTTGTGTATTTATTCTATTCTTGTATATCGATTAAAACAATTATTTGTTACTACTAAATCAAATTTTAAGTAAAATTTAAGCTGTACATGCATGACACTAGCATTTTATTTCTTGTGGGTGCTGAGTGGAATAGATATAATTTGTACATTAAGTATGGTTTTTCAAAAAACTACTGTAATTACTCAGGTCAACAATTAAATTAATTTTAACATAACAGCTTACTATAACTCACATTTGACATTTTGTAACACATAGTTTTTATATTCTAGGTTCTAAATAGATAATATATTTGAAATTTTGAATAATTAACAAGCTTTAATATATTTTCATATTTACTTCAAAAAATATTTTAAAGCTTGTTAATTATTTAATTATTTAACATTTCAACAACTACATTAACAATGATGTATAATACATTTGACAATTGGACTTTTATAATATACATCTTTATGGCTGAATGGTTATGCTATTTTTAACCTACTTTTATGAATACATATTTAATTAAAATGATTTGAATTAGTATTAGGCAGATTAATATTTGATTGACTATAGAATTTTAGGMAATGATTTGGAGGATCCCACCTTTATTTCTATTCAATAGTAAATAGTAAATAGTAAATACTTAGTAATTAGTAAATTCAATAAAAAAATTAGTAAAATATTTATTACTTTTACTAATCACAAATTATATTTCATTAAAATTGTAGGAAACAATTATCAGTACTTAAAAATAATAATTATTAATAAAACTWWTAATTCATAGCTCTTATAAAAATTATGTCACATTTTGTTTAATTGTTCAGTTGGTGGTCTGGATCATTTTTTGAGGAAGATAAAACTCTTCCTGGTCACCTCTTTGTGTTGTGCTTGATGTCTTTCATTTGTCTAATTTGTTTGATCCAATTAATTTATTTACTCTTGCATCTTCAATAATTGTATTCCTAACCATATATTAGGTATAGGTACTTATAAAGAAAAATGGCTAACGCAGGCAAATTATAAATAATTTTTRCAGTTTATTTTTCCATTCAATAAAAAGTCATTTAAGACTATTAMATTTTAATCTATCATTTATACTTTGTGTGAATCATTTTATAATTGTATTTTTAGGCCTGTAAATATGCATTGAAAAAGATAAGCATCTTATTACATTCTGAAAAAATGATAACCATGACCCACAATCATTTGATTGAAGAAGGAAGATTGAAATATACAGAATTTATCAATCAAATGTGTAAAATTATGGTTTGTGTAATTTATTGTATACAGTAATTTTAAAACAATATTCATATTTAGCTAATTCAATAAATTATTATATTTAAAACTTTTGTTGATAGACTGAAGAATTTTTATCTCAAGTTAACATGTATACTATGGTTGGAGTATCTTACTCAAAAAGCATCTTTCCTGATGTAAGGGCCAATGCTGCATTATTTGTTGGTAWGGATAACTGTAGTAATAATCTGTCAAGTTATTGTTTAGTTTATTACATATGTATATTTTTATATTATGATTATATTTATACATTTTTAGGTTCGTTGTATAAAGCAAATCCAAGTAAATCTTCTTTCGATTTAATATCAAGTAAAATGTTAAATCTTACAATTGATCCAAATCCTAAAGTCCGTTCTAGTGCTGTTGCTTGCCTTGGAAAACTTTATGAATAAAAATTTGTAGGTTAATAAATATAAATGTTCTTCTTTATTTTCTGTTTCTATTTAAATATTTATATTAGTTTCAGACATAGTCAATTTTAAACTGTAGTCTTAATTAGTAAAATATAATCACAATTTAAGTGTATTCAATTGTTTTAAAGCTATTATTGTTTTGAAATATTTTGTGTGTTAATGGTTGTGTGTTTTTTTTAAATGTTTATTTTATTAAAATATGAATGTATATGAATATACATTTATCTCTTTCTGATTATAGAGTTAATCATATAGAGATGAATAATACAAAAAGTTGTGACTGTCAAATTAAAAAAATTAAATTATGTATAAGAAGTATCATTATCATATGGTGATTCATTTACTTCAAATAAAATAATATAATGGGAAATATCCCTATGTTTTTAAACATTTTATCACATTCAATATTTTCCAATATTATCAATAATATTTATTGTGTGAACAATGTCACCATGATTTTAGATAATTATCTTATCTATACTATAAGAATCTCGTATGCATTATACAATTAATTTTTAAAATTTTCAAAAATGTATTATTTTTATTTTTCGAATAAAAGTAATTTATACAAATATTATTCTTATGATGATAAAATATTAGTTTTGTTTCATTYATTAAAATACTATTTTTCATTTTCATTTAAACAAAAAAATAATAGTACAAACTGCTTATGAGAATAAACATGTATATCAAAACTATTCCATTATTATTAAATTATGTTWTGTGAATTATATAATATATTTGTTTTAAATGCATCTATGTTAGCTTGTTTAATTTTTACCTCATAAATTATACATTTTAATGTTACCATATTCTGAAATATTGTTAAGTAAATGTTCTACACCCTAGTCAGTGGTTCTCAACTGGTGTTCCGCGGTACACCAATTGTAGGGCATGTACCAGTTGCCCCCAAAAATACCTTTTTTTATACCAAYTCCCCCAAAACTAMCTAGAGCAAAATGTACCAGTTGACCTCAATCAAATGTACCAGTTGCCCAGTTGTATTATTAATAATAATAGCCTATTACTAGGTGCAAAGCCAGGATTTTACAAAAACGAGTCTAACTGGTGTCGTATACGCCGATAACCGACGTACACAAATAAACGAACAAATTAATTATAAGCACTTTTATTGAACATTTTGACGTCCAGTGGCGATCGAGTCACACGATCACCACCTGACTCTGACACTGGTGGTCAGTGGTTAATCGAGTCCCGCCAACGACTACCGCCAACGACTACCGCCAACTGACCTCTTTTCTGTCTTCACATATTCCTTAAATATAAATTTTACCATCGAAACACTATCGGTAATATCGATATTGAGTTTAACCAAATTATATTATACTTACTGACTAAGCTTAAAATTATACTATACTCTTTTCCAAATAAGAACAGGCTTCGGTGGCCGACTTCTACGCATGGGCGTGGCTTCACTACAAGTACGGACTTCGAACACTGCCGCTGTGGCGCGACGACGGGAGCGACGTAATTACTAATAATTAGTCTATCATAGACCAGTGACCTGAACTAATAACTTAAAATGCATTGTGTACTCTGAAATAGATGGGGCGCGGAGTGGTACGTTGTGTTTTATTTTCCGTACCGTCACTCGCACGCCACATAATCATAGGCGTACGCAGACTTCAACTTCCGGTCGAGCCTGGATACAATTAGTGCCCCAATACTTATACTGTGCCCCTAATTTTTTTCTAACACTCCTTCATAGTAGATTCTGTTGTAAAATAAAAACAATGTAGTATTTATATCTATAAATAGAATCAAGTATTTTACTGCTAATTTTTGGACATATATTTTAAGAGTACATATTTTACAAAGTAAAACTTTGAATTCTTTAACATCAAATGATATAAATACAATTAATAGTTATGTATAAAAAGAACAAAACACATTACCCAACATTTAAAAAAAAAGCTTGGTATAATAAACAAAAATTCTTTATAGGTACTAAATTAATACATAAAGCATATAATGTATACATAATATATAATGTATACATGTGTAATTATGTATAATTTAAAAACAATTATAAATGAATTCTCCTATTTCCCATCATTTTGAATTCGTCAATCACCATGTCAATGTTAATACTAGATGTTAATTCTGATTCAGTAAACATTAATAATAAACTATTAAGTCGGTCTTGTTGCATAGTACTCCTTAATTTATTTTTTACTATTGTTAGTTTTGAAAATACCCGTTCGCAGGAACAACTTGTAACTGGTATTATACTGAATAATTTCAGTACGGTGAAAAATCCATTAAATGATTTTATGTAATTATTTGTTTTCATATAATCAAGCCATGCATGAATAGATTCATTATTAGTATTAGTATCTGGTTTACCATCAGTAGCTGGTAAATATTTTAATAGTTTTATCTCAGATTGTAATTTCTCTACCGGGACATTTGCAAAATTTGATAATATTGAAATCATTACAGGCGTAGTGTCTAGACGAATCGTACTGGCTACAGCTTGAACTAATTGCACAATTTCTTGGTTAAACCTCGAGTTGATGCCAGAAATGAGTTSATCTAACAATTGGTTGTACATAGTTATTTTAAGTTCATTTTTTTTTGTTTTAAAAAATAATTGATTATTTGATGTTTTGTCTATTCGAGTTGACACTTTTCTATTTATTACTTCTGGTACTTGTACACCATTTTTATGACAAAGTTCTACTGACTGTTGATAAATATTTCTAAACTCTTCATCACTATTCCTCATAGCCATCAAGTTTTGTACTAAAGACTGTACACTGTTTACTGCTAGTACAAGATCCATGTTTGGTGACTGTAATAAAGAACTTGTCTTTAATATTATATTTAATATAGGATTCAATAAATACAGCCCAAAAATAAAGCCAAAACTTTTTAATTGATACTTCAAACCCATTCCTTTTGCACACATTTCTGGAACACTACTACTTTCACAAATTTCTTCTATGGCTAAAAGCAAAACTTCATAGTTATTAAGCACTGATTTGACTGCTTCTGCTCGACACGCCCAGCGAGTAATAGAACACGACTTTAATGTAAGTAACTTAATTCCTACATCTTTGGATATTTTTTCTAAAATTGCATGCCTCATTGCACTACTTTCAATAAAATTGTAGGTAAATTGTATAGTTCCAAAAAAATTGAATACTAATTTATTTATTTTGGAATTTTTTGATTTATCACATACTGAATCAACATGTGCTAAGTTTAGACAGTGAGCATAACAGTGAATATATTTAATATTTGAATTTTGTTCTTTACATTTTGTCTGCACGCCTCCTATTTTACCAGCCATAGTTGAAGCACCATCAAAGCAAACTGATAAAACTGAATGCCAATCTTTTCCCATAAGTATCAATACATCATGAAGACAGTCAAAAATAGCCTGAGCTGTAACAGATTGCATTCGTTTCAATGTAATATAAGTTTCAACTGGTCTATTTTTTTTTTCATCAAAATATCGAAAAACAATTGACAATTGTTCAAAATGTCCAACATCTGTAGTCTCATCAGCCATTATTGATATGAACGAATTTTGTATGTTGTTTTTTATATTTCATAAAATAACATTTTTAATTTATGTTATTAAATCATTCTGTATTCTGCTACTTGTGTAAAAAGCATTTTTTGGAGCCTCTTGTAAATGGTCTTGAAGAACAACATCATATTTTGTCAGTATGATTACTAATTCCTTAAAAAGTCCTTGATTGCAAACATCAGATTTTTCATCATGACCACGAAATGGCCTACCACTCTTTCCTAAGCAAATTATAATATCAATGGTACGATTCATAAATTCTCTGTTTTTCAAACGATCTTTTTCTTTTCTACTAATTTCTTCAAGACGATTCTTATCGAGCACACAGTCAATTGACTTCAAATTAATAAAATCAGTTAATGCTTTTGCACTGTTTAAGTGACATTTAGATGATTGATGTTTTTTGAATGCATCAATAGCTCGATACCACGCTTTAAAACCATTACTACTAAATATTGATTCACTGTAGCTGCTATTTATTTCATTACCTTTAAAGCAGCGACAAGGGAAAAAAAATACTGTGTCAGAAGTATCACTATACTCTAACCAATCAAAAATATCATACCAGTTTTTCTGAAATGACCTTTTTTTAGAATTTTGAAGTGACCGTGGATAAAGATCTAATATAGGCTTGTAACGTCCTTTCAAAATTCGATTTTGGAACTCTAAGTGATCTTTTGAAAATGGATTAACCGGATCATATACATTCACCATATTAACTTAAAACAAAAAAAATATAGTTAATAAATATATAATATAATTAATAAGCTACTAAAAATACATACCATCATCACTATATAGTTCCTTATTTTCACTTTGTTTTGAACTGTTGAATATAGAATCTGTTGTATTTTCTGCACGACTGCACTAGCTGTTGACAGAAACATATTATGTATATTTTGATTGGATTCAGTTTTTACAAAAAATTGCTTTTGAGATGTCATTGGGGGTATAACATTTTGTTACAAAATAACAAAAAAAGTTTGAAATATTAAAAAATTTTATATATCACATCCAACCCATGTTCAAAATCGAAAAGAAACATTGAATACAACTTTTTTGTCCTTACAATTTTATTTACATTATGAATTTTAACCATTAAACATTATCAACAATATTTTTATTTTTATTTTTTTTATTGATCGCAAAAATTAACATCGACAACAAAGGCCATTAGTTTCAATATTTTGTTCCCATATAACTACAATGTTTAATGTTTGTTTAGTAATTCTGTGAACATTTTGATTGAGGTTCGTAATTTTTTGTCGATGGGCAGTCTTGTAAAGAATACTTTTATTTTGTATTCGGAATACGTATTCGAATAAACGGTTAAAAAGGCACTCAGAATGTGTATTCGAATAATTTTCAAATAAAAAATTTAGAATACATTCTGGAATACTCAAAAAATTATTCGAATACTTTGAGAATACGATTTATTAATACTTATTTTGCTCAAAATTGATTAAGTAGTTACACAATGTTTGCATTTTACTTCGTACGTTTGATATGTCAATTGATCTTTTAACAATTTAATTATTGTGAAGTGATCATTATATTCTATCCATGGAAGTGTTGTTTTATTAGTCGATTCATTTTCACTCAAGGCCATTTTAGTTGAGAAACGGTATTTGTAAAAAATACAAATTAACAAAATATAAACAGTGAATAATCTACAATGAAAAAAATCAAAAGTTACTTTAACATTAAATATTATATGCGTATATTATCGTATACGTAATAGGTACTACACAGTACTAATACTGTAATGTGTTTATGTGTGTGTGAGAAAACTAAAACTATACTTATTGTTATGAATGTTATCATAAACGGAACATTCTAAAAATAAACATTTTCCCCGACTACTGATAAATGGAATATTATCTATTCTACACTGGCAATAACAAATTTATTACTATCACCATTTATTGGGTTTTTTGTGCTAATATAGTAATACCATTGATTATAGAATAGACAGATAGCCCATGCAATGTTAATATTTGGTGACCATGCGTAGGATGCAACCACTATGGAGCGCTAGTGTAGTTGGTATGCAAGGAGGTGGTACCCCCATCATAGATGTTTGCCATGGATATGCGGGGAAGGGAAAAGTTGGCTTATTGCGAAGTGCCGATCTAAAAA